ATCAAAGGATCTGGGCCATGATTTCTGTTGATGTAATGATTTAAACTTGACAAAATTCCTTGGATGGCTAAGGATTTATTTTGTATTTCCTCGGGAGCTGGAATACAATAACTGAGGACAGGAAAGTGTTTTGTTAAAATATAAAAGCAACTGATTTTGTCTCCTGTGTACTTCTAAAATTTTTTCTGAAGACAGAAAGTTTGGGTAACTATGTAATTAAAGAGAGCTAAAGGAGGGACAGTAATGAACAAATACCATTATTTTTGCCATAGTTCTTGAGAAAGCTAAGGTAGAGCTGCAGAAAATCTGTTACAGTGATGCACTTTACTTAGCATGGGAGTTCATGCAGTGCAAAGAGCTTAATGTGTGCAGCTGAGCTGGGCCTAATGGGCATCAGTTGTTATCTGTGGAAATGGAGTCTGTTAGAAGGAGGCTGGCTACTACACCAGTCTGAGATGGCTAGTGGGATTTTCAACGTACTAGTGACCTTTTCTTACTCATTTTGCTGAATTTTTATCCAATAAAAGCCATCACCTGCCCAATATACCCAAGTCTGTATTGTGCATTCTGAGCCCGTTGGTGAGGGTGTTGTGAGAAGCAGATGGAGAGGAGGGGAAGATTGTAGAGATGGAACAGGAGGTGGAGAACAAGGGGAGCTGCTGAAAGCCGTATACACTCAAGCACTCTAACATTTTTACACATGCTTTTAAGTATGCTTTTATACATACATGTATATGCATGTATATACAAAGTGCATTTTACACAGTATTTCTCTCCCAGAAATGCAGAAATGCTGTGAATCTGCCAATAGGCATTACATGCTTCCTTATGCTAGGAAAATTCTTAAGGAAAAAAATTCTATACCTGTTGTAAATTGATCCAGTTTGATAAGAATTTTGCTTATTAATTATATGCCTTATAAAGCTCCTGGCATATGAGGAAGTTACAGATAATTGTGAGTAAGTAAGTAGGGAAGTGTAAATGGCAGAAAACTTATTACCTGTTAACGCTGTTCCCTGTCCATTTTGATGGGCGCATACTGGTTACGTTTACAGAAAAAGTCAAACTCTCCAATATTGTATTAAATAAATGTAAGTTTAACAGAAATGTTGCTGACTTTGTTTTCATTGTGCAGCAAATTATTGCCCTGCAAAGTTTAAATATGGCTAGTGAAAGTCACAAAGACCGAGTGGTATTGCTCCATAGGGCTGCTACAGCAGTGTAGTAACCTAATAGCTCCGATTTTCAGAATCCTGACAAGTTACTAAGGCTTTGATCAAACATGAAAGGAAGTACAGTTTTGTTCCAGACCATTTAGAACAAAAGCTTTGTTTACTTTTTTTCCCTATTTTTTTGAAAATGTGTGGGTTTCTCGTCAAATAAGATCAGCTTCAGTCTTAGGTCAACATGACATTCCGAATGTGTGTCTTTGAGCAAAGATAGACTACTTTTTCAGTAATAAATCAGCTCTGTTTTTAGAAGAAAGTGGGTTCTAGAGGTTGACGGTTTACCGACAAAGCTCCAATTGCAATTTTAATGACATGTAAACAAGTGAAGTATCTACAGTGGGCTGAATGCTGACAGGCGAGCAGGAGTGCTGGATTGCCTCCAGGAGGCAAACAGTCTTGAGTTAGAGAGCTCTTTCTCAAAAGCACGAGTACACAGGATTCATTGGGCAGGAAAGTCTACGTTGGAAATGCTAGTCCATTTTCTAAGGTCTTTGGTAAGCTTTTATATCTGGGTCTGATCCACAAATAAACCAGAGGCATCCTGGCTCTTCTTTGTCCTAGTGAGCCTAGTGAGGTTGGGAATCCGACCTTGTCCCTTTATAGGTAGTGGAGTTTGCATGTATCTCTCCTGATACCAGTGTTTACAGTCGACACTGATGAAGTTTCACCCCGTAATAGTGGAGCTGCTGGGGGAGGCAGTTGGGGGGAATGGTGGGAAAAGCTGTGTGCCATTCTGAGTGAAGGAAAGATGTTCTTGTTGTCCTGGGAGTTCAGCAAAAGGCTCCTTGGAAAGTGCAGTGATTTTTGGACAAATTGTCAGAACTCCTTGAGGTGGCTCTGATGCTGTCAGAGCATTTTTTCTCTCACCTCACACAAAGCTTTTCAGCTCCTCCTATTTTAACAATTCTAACAATAAAAAATCATCGGATATTCTCTTGCTATTTTAAATGGCTATTGTTGCACTGTATTTAATCATTAAGGAACCAGAAGGGGCACATTTCATTGAAAAATGTTCATTTGACCCTCTATAAACAGCAACTTGAAGCATTTTAACAGCCTCTTCAAACTGTTTGGACAGAAATAAAGTAGCATCTGGTTTGAAGCATGCTTTCATATTGTATTGTTTATGTTGATAGCTTAAGTTCTTTGCTGTGCGTTGTTATTTATGACAATTGAATGTAGAACATTTTTGATTCAGTGTGCTGAATCCAGAGTGCTTTCATAATATAGCATGGGAATAAAGCAATCAAAGCTGAGGTGACTTGACTGATTTCATTTAGAAGGTTGATTCCAGCAGCCTATTAATGTTAGAGCAGAAGGGAGGGGGAAGGAAAGAATGGAGCAGGTAGTTAAGGGATATGAATTAAAAAGAGTAAGAAATCTGGAAAAGAATCCTGTTGATGGTATGTCCTGTATGAAAAATTTCCAGGAGTCACTACAGCTATAGGAAGAAATTGTAGAAATTGCCCAAACAAAAAGGCAAGAATTCTATACAGACAGGATTTTTTCCTTCTTTAACTTTTTTTTCCTCTTTCTTACTATGGTTTTGTTGTTGTTGTTTTGTTTTGTTTTTTACTGGAGAACTTGCAAGAAAGTTTCAATCATCTTGCCCACTAAGCCAATGAAAAATACAAAACTACACCTACTTAAAATATTTTCATTGCATTTTCTACATCACTTCAATCATAAACAAATCAAATTGGTCTTGTTATAAATCTAAATTAATTCTAATGCCAAAATAACCAGAAGCACAATTTGTACCACCGTGAGTTTCTGCAATGCAACATTACAGTGAAAAAAACAAAACCAGGGACAAAACAGCATTTGTACCAGTGCCAGCAGAACTGTCTCATGGCTGAGAACATTCTTAAATAAAAGAATAAAATACCACTTCAGCCAGACATTATCTAAATGTTCAATACATCTATTTACAGTCAGCAATATACAACTGTCCAACATATATTAACATAGATTTCAAATATAGTAATACATTAATAGATCTCTTAATGTTGCTCTCATGGTATTATAAAAAGTGAATGACATGCAGTTCACTATTTTTAAAAACAATATTAAAGTATTTATATGGTTTGAAGTAACTGAACACATCATTGAGCTTGAAGGCAATCTGGTTTCTAAATATTATAGGGAGGATTTAAGGAACAGAAACAGGTTTCTAATTTTTAGTAATCGTATCCAAAGAGCTAAGGATGGCATTTTTAATTATTGACTTTTCTGTTTAATTTGTTCAGTGTGATATTTCTATTTACTTCACAAGGTGCTGACTTTGAAGCAAGACCAGCTTGACTTCAGAGCTGTTTCCCCTTTATCACCTAATAGGCCTGAGGTCCTGCAACAGCAAGCAGAAGCTTGGCAGCCTTAGTGTTTGCTCCCAGACTGTATCTGGTAAAGACTTAGAATTCCTGGCTACAGCCTTGTTCAGTAATCCGATATCAGCAGTGTTCGAATCAAAGGGCTACGATACAATACTTCTTCCTATTGTAATGCTGCTATATATGGTAGCATCTTCTACTTGTGGTTTGACAGACCTTTTCAGTCAGGATGAATTAAGCACTGTATCCCTCCTTTGCCTCTTCTCCCCTCAAGACTTTGGCTCTGCTATTTACTTCCTCTCAGGCTGTTTTCCTTTCATTTGCCTTATTAGTAGGTAGGTCAGTAGCTGATACCACCTACTGCGAGCATCTAAAGGCTTTTCTTTTGTTGCTTTGTTTTTTCCTAAAGCCTGAGAAGTTGCCACTTTCTTTAGTAGTTCTACACAAAAGATATTAAAAACCATTTAAATCTCATCTGATTAGGAAAAAATATGGACTGCACCTTCCTTTACAGTCATTTATGCATCTTCCTTTACAAGCTACAGAAATTCAGTCGCTCATCTGAGTTTCTTAGGCTGACAAAAGTAGCCACAAATCTAAATGTGTTACAGAAATATGACATATTAATTAACATCCTTCTATTTTTGGAGCTCTTTTCATTTATAATAGTCTGGTGATTTTTTTGTTCTTCCTATACTCAGAAAGCCCTGGAAGCTGGAGGAGGTCAGACCTTCCCTGCATTGCTAAGACATGGGGACAAATTGGCATCTATAGAACAGATCTGCATTGCCTCCCTTGAGCATTTTTCCAAGACTGAACAAATGTAGAAGATGATATTGTACTTGTGGGCCACACTAAGCTATAAAAGAGTGTAAGTCTGTGTGTGTATGTGTATATGTGCATGCATCGCAGTAGGAATTACTAAATCATTGTAAGGAAAGCTAGATTCATTTCTATGGCACTTTGTACATTTTTTTAAAATGTTTAGCATTGCATTTTATCCTCAAATACTGTAGTGATCAGGCAGATCCTGGATGGGCTTGTTTTTTACTTTCCTACCTGAGGTAACTAAGAGTTTTCTGATAGAATTCTACCATTCTTGTCTTTGACTCTCAGCTCTCATTACATCCTTCCCTTTCAGCCAATCAATAGCTTTGAGAATGGTCCCACTAATGCTCTTCTTTTATGTTACATCCTTTTCCCTACCAGCTACCACCTTCTCCTTCTTGGCTGCAAAATCTTCTGTTTATATTTGAACCTTGCTTTACCAGCTGGCTTTCTTTTACTCTTGGGTCCTCTATGCAGTGTTACTCTATGTGCACATCCTTTGCACACTTCTGTTCAGAGTTATTGCCCCTTCAATGCCATACTCTTTAGTCATGATGTTTGGCTCCTCTTGTACCCACTGTTTTGTCTCTTCTGATACCTAGTGTCTGCTAGTTGCCATTGTCCAAGTGCCTGTGTTGATATAGACATATTTTCAGAGTATAATGAATAAGTATTGCAGATTGAAGAGTGAGTATTCAGGAATATATATCACACACTTTTATTCTCTGCTATTTAGGAGGTTATTGGCTCCAAAGGGTTAGTAGTATGCAACAGATATTTAATATATACTTAATGGCCAGATATTGGTCTCTCAAGTTCATGAAGTTTCTGAACTTGAATCACAGATTTAAAGTTTGGGGTAGGAATTCTCCAGATGATAATTACAAGACATTCGTTAGTAAGTCTGAGTCCATGGATTGAATTTGCTAGTTCTGGAACCATAAGATGCACCATACATAATTCACTAAACAGATTTTGAAGAATGACTGTGGCCATTTCAAGCCTTCACAACTAAATTCTCTTCTCATTCTTGCTCTGGAAAACAGCCGCACCATTCAGTGCAGATGCCCAGTGGTGTGTGGCTTCTGGAAGACTTTCACAGTCATAATTAGCTGCCCTGGATATCAAACATAACTACCCAAGCTACTGCTCTGCTGTATGTCCAAACCACCCACAGCAAGAGCCTCTGCACCAGGATCAAGTCTGCAGCACAAAGCAGTGCACAAACAAAGGTAAGCAATATACTAAGTCAAAATTAGGCTAGTAGGCCAAAACTGCATTTGCATAGAAAATTGAAAGAATTGATGAATGCTCTGTAATACAATACAAAAATCAGTTCCTGTAATGGCTTGTGTACAAGACATTGGTTACCCTTCTGCATTCTCTGTATTAATGTTTTAGCTAACATATGTCCACAGATGTGCAAGATACACTTGGTTATGTGTTTATAAGTAAAAAGATATACATGAACATGTATGCAACTAACCCAGTTGCAATATGACAAAACTGAATCTCCTGCCCTGCCTAGTATTTCTCTATGAACATCACAGGTCCTAGGATCTTCCCTTCATTTCTTTTGTTTTTTTCATGATGGGACTGTATTTGTGGACTGTTTTTACTCATACTCCACATTTCGTATGAGATTCTCTAAAAATAAATTTTATAAAATCATTATGTTACATTTATAAACACAGCAGTCCTATTTTCAAAATCATTTATGCAATAAATTTATGTCTTCAGCTGATTCTGGAATTTCCGAGCAGCAGTTATTTTGGCTTTTGGAAACTGCCTCTAGCTTCCAGCAAAGTTCTTATGTAACTAAATGATTGCTGATGACTGAAACAGAGGATCCAAAATCATAGTTTAGAGAACTTTGCTTGCAAATTCTGAGCACCACTCGCTGCCTTATCATTTCCAATGTGGCAGTGATGCCAGCAAGAGACCAGTTGTGCTTGTTGTGAACATGAATAAGGAATTTAACAGAAATGCAGGGAATAGAAAAGTTGTGTATCTGATTCAGTGCAAAAAGTTGACTCCCTGACAAAGAAAATTAACTGGCAATACATAGTTGTCTTCTGGCATACCTGCACAAACACTAATGACTACCATTCTCTTGCTACCAGTACAGCGGTAATTTGGACGATAGGTGTTTGCATTTCTTGGTTTTGGAATCTTGACAGTTACTATTGCCTCATCCTGCCTTCTTGCATTTGCCTTTCACACTGGAAAAACTTACAACCAGAGCATGATTAATTTTACTGTCTTATAAATGTTAGGGGCAAAATCACTGAAAATTACTTCTGGATTTTCATAAATAAGCTAAATAATCTCTTAAGAAGTCTTTGGCAAAGCAACCAATAAGAACGGAGGGATTACAAGCTTTAGATTTTAATGAGAATTGGTTGTTTGTGGTATTTCTCATTCTGCCACAATCCAACGTCAAAAGAATGTGTATTAAGATTTCTGTGCCTAGAATCACAAAATCAAAGTGTCGTATTTGCATTACTCGTGTGGGCTTTGAATCGGACTAGTCAGATGAACAGTTCTAAATGTGCACATTTGATTTTGTTGGCCATTTTTCCCTTTGTTTATAGACAGCACAGATTTTTAGGAAGGAATTCAGTGGCCAGCTGCCCAAATTAAAGAATAGTGAAAAGATCAAAGTAGTGCATATCGCTACTGTGGTAGTTACTAGCATTTGTGATACCTTATTCTCATGACAGAACAGAAAGTGGCATAACATCAATCTTGTTTTGTTACAAAAAATAATAAAAAGGGGAATTGGTACAAGTACAGCTGTTTTCATTATAATCTCAAGAAAGTAATGTCAGAGTCCTCTTCAGGGGCTGTAATGAAAGAACCTTTGAAGAGCTAGTGTATTCTTCTGTTAGTCACAAAGGTACTGTACGCAGTAATTCCTTTTCTTAAGAAATGGCTGTTCCATTAGACCAACAGGAACTGATCACGAGGGTCCCACTATTGCTGAGATGGGGTCATGTAGAGTGGAAATATGAGCTCTATAACCCTTGACCCCTTTCCCTCTTTATTTCGATTCCTTTAACAATGCATGGTTGGCAGACAAAAACAATGGAAAGTTCCAATCTCTTTTGTTTGGCTTGGGAAAAAACTCTAGCCAGCTCAGTTTTGTTTTTACCTAAAAGTATGTCTGGGTTTCAATTAAAAGGAGCTACTTTAAGTTTTCTAGTCTGTGAAACTTTGAAAAAAGCCATTGTTGCCCATCCATGATCTAACCAACGAGATACAGATTCTCACAGTGTCACCATAAAACTACATCTTATTTCTAACTGTAGAGGCTAAGAAAGGCTGGATTGCTAGGAGACTGGATTTTTTTAAAAAACAGCACACCCATTTGTGTACAATTTTTAAACCATTACTTTTAAAACAGGACATAATATGTTATAAATCCAGTGTCAAGGAAATACTGGCAAAAGGATGAACCAAAAGTAACACAAGCACTGCTGCAACTGAGGAGCTTAGCAGGTAATGCCATCCCCTAGAACCCTTACAGAAACATTACATGTTTTACTACAATGGGAAGTTTGATTATTTGAATGTTAAAAGTAGTTGATTCAGATCTCCTAAAGAATTACAGTTTGAATACATATTATAAACTAAGATTGATGGCACATATTTCTGATCTGCTCGGATTTTTATGCACGAACCCACTCATTTTGCAGGTCTAGACTCATTTAGAGATATTTTTAACTTCTTATTTTCTTATATTTAAGGTTTTGTAAAATTTCTGTTTTTTAACATCATTGTACAACAGCTCAGTGTCTTCTTAATAACAAATCTAGCCAGGTATGTGAAACTGACTTATCTTTCAAAAGTCTTTTCATTGTCAACTAGTAAAGAATTGGTCCCTGGTAGCTTGCTTTGAGTCACTCTGTTTGAAAGAACCTTGCATGACATAGCAAAATTCTGTTATCAGTAGTTTCCAGTGTAAAATTTATAGTAAAAATACTTCTTTTATATCACCCACAAAGAATTCTATTAGCTGTCATAAACTTGTCCAACAGAATCATATGGTGAGTGTTGCTGAACAGAGGGAAGACATAATTGAAATCCTCATCCCATTGAAACAACCATATTTTTTTATAAGGTCAGTAGTTTGGCTTTGCTCCATTTGGATGTTTACAATTTTCAGCTTTGGATCAGTCCCCAAGTAAATGGGCTAAATAAGCAGATCCCTTCCTAAATACAGGTCTTCCCAATAAAGGAGACATTAAAGGCCTTTCACCTGAGCAGCTGAAGTGTCAAATTTTGGATATAGTGCACCAACTGAACTACCAAGCAGTAGAGAAGAGACAGTCATGGGATGTACAATTACAGCAATCGAAGTACTATGGCCAAAAATTCTTAAATATTTATAGTTTTATTTTTATATTTCCAACAACTGTATTTGTAGGTACTTCAGGTACTTCAGTTTTGCTCGATAGGAACAGCTAAACAAAATGACTCGTTTTCAAACTTTGGATTATAATTGGTTGTTCTTCTGTTAATTTATTTTATTTTTTATTTATGTCTTTTATGGAAAGTTTATTTTTGCCTTGTATCATCACTTAGCACTAAAATAAATGATTATTATAGATCTAAGCAGTTCTTAACATTTAGTTTATAATACCACAGTGTATTTGCCATGGGGCCTTAGTTACACTGGAAAGTACTTTTAAGAGACAGCTTTGATGAAGAAGTCCCCCCCAAAAAAGAATAAACTTTTGAATAAACTACAAAATATTTCTTTTCTTATCATCACCTCTGTTACAACTTTGCCACTGGGGTACAAATAATTAAGAGTACTTACAATTAGAAAGAAATATTTGCAAGAAGGATTATTAAACTCAGGATTGGTAGGAGTTGCCTCAGCCTTAATACCAACCTGACATGATTGGGATGTTACAGTCAGACCTAACCTAGATGAAAGGCCTTAGGTTCTCGCTGAATAGAGAAGGCAGAGAAGTGGTTGTTCATTGCCAACCACTTGACTAGCTACAAGAAAAAAAGGCGTTCTCATTAAAGACAGAGCAAAAGGAAAGAAAAGGTGATACGATCCACCTTCTCTATAGAAATCCTGAAGGGAAACTTTTGTTTTTTTTTCCCCAGAAAATTGATATCCAGAAGCAAAATATACCACAAATACTCAAATTTTCATGGTCCATGTCCAGTAATTTGATCAAAGCCAAAACATTTATATCTTTCTTCTAAGTTCTCTTCTTTTCCTTTCGACTTTTATTTATAAATTAAATAGGCTGTGGACCAAATTTTGCTTCTAGATGTGTGCATGGTTTCCACTGACTTTCACGAAAACTGTGGGTATGACTCTCTAGGCAGAATTTAGCCTGGTGTATGGTTTTGATTCATTCTGTCTTCCTTTAACGTTCAAAATCTTTGAGATTATTTGGATATAATACATGAAAGGGAAGACAATATCTGAAAAAGGGCAGAGAACAATTATTCCCTGTTTCAAGGGTGAACTGCCTTAAGTGAGCAGAAATCAGTCACAGGAGGCTACTTGCTTCACTTATTTTTCTAACTGCTCTAGGCAAATAAAGATTAAGCCATTTTTTTTCAGGCAGGCCCTCTCCCCAGTATAAAGACATAATCAATCTAAACCGAAAGCAACCGGGAAATGTAGCAACCAGGGTTTTTGGCCAGGTGTAGGCTGTATAATGACATAAAAGTGTAGGATTAATTTTGGTTTAGATTTTACTCCAGTATATTCAATAGAGGTAAAAGATGCTGAAATTAGATTTCAAAGTTTTATAATAATTTACTGAGCTGTTGATGAAGGAGTGTTGTACAGCATCTGTATAACATTGTCTTCAGAAAATCATGTATAGATAAATTCATTATTGAAAAACTTCAAAATCTAAGGTGCAAGGTCAGCTTAGTTTCACAACGCGAGATCAAATCAGAGTGGATAAAAATAATTTACTTCATTTTACACTGAACCACTGCAACTCTTAATGAAATTTAATCCTACTTCCCCTCCTTTGGAAATCTCAATGAAGTTATGGTTCAGAGAGAAGGCAAAAAGTTCAGGTACCCCGGGTTGTCAGGAGGGATTAAAAAGACTAAATCTTTATTTTCATTCACATCTATACAAAAGCTCGTGATTTTGATAATAAGAAGAATGTTTTATCCAACATAATTTTCTGTAAAACCAAAATTTAACTTCTGAGCTACTTCCAAGCCCAACTCAAAATCATATTCATCCCAGTTTGCTCATAATAGAAATGACAAAAATAAAACCTTTTTCAGAGCTCAGGAAAAAGTATGATTTTGCTCACCCTCTGATGATGAGAATAAAAGGGAACAAAGACTCAAACTACCCATAGTCTGAGTTTAAAAAGAGAAAGATGTGGCTTTTCTGCCCCTCTTCTGGTACTTTTTGTGGTTAGGAAAGTTTTGCTGAATCTTAGGTATGTTCATTTCTGAAACTGGGGCATTGAACTAGGAATGCTCCCTGGTAAAAGATTTTATTTGCACTTTTAAAAGCCTTATGAGTATTGCTGATCACTTCATCATTACAGGAAGGAGAACTACTAGCAAGGATGGCAGTAAGTACAGCAGACACCATACTGGACAAATCATCAGGTGAGTTGCAATGCACATATGTGCTTGCGGATTTTACATGTATAAGGTCATTTCAGCGATGTATTTTACAGCTTCAATAGGGAGGGTTAGAGTAGACTTCTGATTAACTTCTAACATGAATGGGAGTTTTAAGAACACCTGACAAAATGGAGGACAAAAACAGCACTCAGGAACACTGCTCACAATTTTTTCAATTCTGCTAATAAAAGTACATGATTTCTTGAAGCCTTGAAGTGTTGCTTAGGGCTGCAGAGATCTTTCAGATAGGCCTGGAGAAGCTCCAAGGAAATTTCTTTAAAGCCAGCATGCACCTAGGAGCTGAAGCCCTTGATCCTATCCTGTCATGGTGGAGAATTTCCTCCTTGAAAGTGGGGATGGCCCCCAGAAGCTGTGTCAGCTGCAGAAATTGCACTGATGGATAGGTAGCCCTCCACAGCAGCTGCTTTGTCTGGAGGCTATGTACAAACCTCCTTGGGTCCAGAGATCCTCCTGCTACATCTTGTCTGTATATTCCCAGATAGCTGCTTTGCTATGAAAATGAATCATTTCACAATAACCATTGAGCTCAGTCTAAAATACGCAGCATTGCAGATAAAGCACAGCGTCTCAAACACCGACGGATTCCCTTACACATCCTTTCATTTTTAATCGCATGATCCCATTTTTCTTGACTCAGCTCTGATGCTGAGCTTTCATAGTGTTATTAAACTTTTTAAACACTGAATTGTTCCTGTTACGAGTTGATGTTCCTGTTCAGCTCATAGCTCGAACTCTGCATTCAACTCCTCCTGTGTGTAGCTTTAATTTCGATGTGTGCTGTAAGCCTGCTACTAACGCCACGCCGAGACAGCCAAATGAGCTTGCCTCTTCTGCTGTGATTATAGATTGCAGTGCAGATTTTCCTTGGTGGAAAGCACTGCAAACTTAAGCATTCTGTAGCAAAAACACCCAAACAAAAAGAAATCAGTGAACTGAAGCACTGGTAAGAGTAAGATCATTTTTCATTGAAAAAGACTAGCGTTATGCAGTGTGCATTTGCCAGCAAGCTGGTGTCTTTTAAAACCAATTATTGTATTTTGTTCATGTAGCAGATGAAGATGGTAAATTAGTTCAATTGCAGATCAGAACTCAGAGCCCACTGAGTTTGTTTGTTTGTCAGCATCCAGGATCTTACAGCATGAAGCACATCTGTCCCAGCCGTACTCTGTCACGGGAAAAGGAGCACAAGGATGCCTACATGTCAGTTTGCTAGCCTGAAAAATGCCCTTTCCTTCTGAATGGCTCTCACTTTGCTTGCCTCGATCTTCTACAATTACTTCAAATTTCAAACATTTACAGACAAATTGGCAATACGCAAAGCTGTGACATTCCAAAGACAATGCTCACTGACAGCAAGAGACTCACTGCTTCATATGCTTCAAAACTCAGGGAGAAAAGGCATGAGAGAAAAGAGGCTGCCAACCCAAGATGAAGAAAAATGGCAGCTTTATCTTTTTACTTACTTGTCAACCATATTTCCAGCTGACTGTGGAAGATGGGAGACCCCCTTTTTTGAATTATTTCATTAAGTCTGACAGAAGCACGAGCTGCCCAACACATTGTTGTAGTGGGAAAGTGCTGCTTATTGCAGACTGTCCAGCTATGATTCAAGAAAAGAACTGCTGTGGGTAGAAATGGAAAAATAAGGGAAAGCTGAAAAGGAGCATCTTTGCACCTTAGCTGCACTTTTAGGAATTGAAAAGGTAACTGTAGAAACATCAAGTGCTGGTAATCTTTGACACTCTCATTATTAGGAGGTTTTTAAATTTTATTCATGTGGCTCATATTCAACCTGACAAGTCATGTAGCGATTAAAAATTGGAATGCTGCAACAACAGTGTTAGAATTAGGATCAGTGACTGGTTTAACTCTCCCTGACAAGGAAAGCCTGGCAAATGACTCGGTTCCAGCCAGTAGGGAATCTTCAGGCTCACTGCGCACTACCAATGTGTCCTGACAAGCCTCGTCAAGACAGCCAACGTGAGCTTAGCAGATGCCCTCAGAAAGTTTCCTCTTCTTACCTTCCTTGTTCCTGTATAGTTTATCCCTGGACTCTGGAGTACATGTTAGGATAGGCTTAATGGAAGATAGTTGCATTTTTTGAGACCTTGCATAAAGCCTGGAGGTAAGCAACTGGGGCTCGGGTTGCAGTTTTTCCTCCTCAATTTCCAGTAAAAGAGTTCTTGCAATGATTCAAAATCAAAGGTGGAACGTTTCAGAGTACGAGATTTGTACGAGAGTACGAAACATGAGAGCATGAGAAGCTGATAGAAGGAATTACTGTGGTGCAATTACATGATCACCAAGGACTGAAATTTCCATTAAAGCACATGGTCTCTACCATGAGTCTCGCAGCACTCAGCCTCAAATATGTTGAGATAATGATTTAGGCTCCCCTGGTATCTCTCTCTCTCTCTTTCTTTCTAATAACATGCTGCCCTTTCTGCAGTACAGTTGCAGGACAGATGTCTTTGACTGATGTGTTTGAAACATGGGTGGTTTAGTATCTGTGTTCTAATAATGACTGATTTTTGGTATCCTGGGAGAACATCTCTCTTGGCACTTAAGATATAAAAAACAAGTGACATTTTGAAATAAACAAGGTCTACAGGTGGTAGAATTAGCACTCAATCTGTCATCCTACATGCAAGGCAGAGCCTCAGCCACCAGATAAATTAAAAATGTCTTCTGAGGTAAGAAGGCTAAAAGTTTGAGTTCATTATGAAGAAACTTACACACAAAGCTTACTCTCCCTTCTTCAGAAGTCATCACAATTTCCATGTGTGTATAGCAAGTGGCATTTCCCTGAGCAGAAGGGCAGGGATGAGAATATAGATCACAGTGGAAACCTTTCATCCCCAAGTGATTTGGGCCTGGATTCCTCAGCAGCTCTCCTGGGGGCAGTCTGCAGTATCAATTTTATCAAGTGGGCAGACAACTGACGACTTTTGTTGTCTTCGCCTCATGAAAAGGTGCAAGGGTTCAGTCTAGCTTTCAAGTTAACACATCTCTAACTCCTCTGTGGCCCTTGGGACAAGGATTCCTTCCATGCCATGCTAGCATCTTAGATTGCCTGTAAGATTTTATCCCGGTAGAGCACTAGCAATACCAGTGGCTCTGGTGGCTAGAATATGTGAGTTAAAGGAAACGAGTTTTACTTAAAAAAATATTCAAATATTTGACTTTTATAAATTCTGTTTACTAATCTAAAAACATTTACTTATAGTCAAGAAAATCTAAAATTTTAGTGGACAACTTCAGAGTCCATACTCAGTAGAACTCAAGTGCCATTCCAGTACAGATTTTAAATATGCAATTGCAGATACAATCTTTCTCTGATAAAATATTATTGTGTGCTGCCAGAAGAGATAGTAATCAGCTCTTGATTAATATTCATTGTATACATATAAGTATTCAGGAAATTAAAAGGTATTTTCAGACAGTCAGAGAGCGTACAGAACAAAAGACATTCCTAGATAAAATGAACATGCAGTGGTCAAGGCAATCTCTTGAATTCAGAGTTAGTGAAAGGCCAGTCACTTCATTTTTTCATTCAACCCAGAGGATTAAGAAAAACTGAGCTGATAGAATCTTGTGATCCCACCCACTTTGGGTGCATGTTTTCTAATTAAAATGGAAATTTGATCAATTATCAAAACGCGCTGGCTGATAGAGATGTGCCATTCATCTTCTGGCAATCCTACATCTGCCTTGGAAGCAAGAGGAGTGTTTTCAGGTTCTGCAATAATTTAGACATTAAAAATACCATGATTATTATTACATTCACTTCTAAGGCAGTCATAATTTGTATCTGAAATGAGCCAAACCAAGCCACTGTCCTGCCCTCCACCAACATCATGCAAAATTAGTTAACGCATAAATGTATAGAGAGAATTGCATACATGGGGACAGAGATATATATCTGACAATGATGAAACACTGATGAAGTTATCAGTAACTATCCTGGCATTTGCAAAAGCTATCACGTCATAGAACTATTTGCAGAATTATGTACTTCTCAATGAAGTCTCAATAACCATTAAAGTGAATGGAAAATTTTCTACAGTGCTTTCATTAGGAAACATGAATCCACATGAATAACGCTGAGTTGTGCATGTTCCAAGTGGTTCTTGATACAATCTGGGCACATAACAGTCCCCATATACAAACATATCAAAGCTGATTGAGTAAGGAGCACTGGGCAAACAAACAAACAAACAAAATTACCATTAATGTAAGTAAGTGCTTGTGCTAGTCTGATAAGCCATGGCTCCTCTGTCATGTGCAGTTCCCCATAATGCTGTTTGCCAAAGAACTGGACTTTTCCAGTGAGCAGTGAGTGGGCACTAGGGAGGACTGCAAGGTATTCAGATACAAATTAGGAAGGCGGAGTCCAGAAAATGGCTGCTACTGATGCAAAGAGGAGAAAGTTCAAACCATGAACTGAAGAAAAATGCTTATTGAAACACTTCCAACCAAAGCATAAAGAGAACACAGTGTCCAGCATTGCTGAAACTGAGAGAATAAGAGCACATGAGGTGGCCGGTTATGGTGCTTTGCTATCCTAATCCTTCTTCGACTGGTTATAAAGCCACATGAAAAAAACTCTCAGTGCTCATATACATCAACAGCTCAAACGGCAAAGGCCAGTCTTAATGCACTAAGAAAGCAGAATGTCACTGATAATTTGCTGCCTTCTGTCACAGGAATCCACTGGTTCCCACCAGTTAGACCCTGGCAGCTCAGCAAACCAAAAAAGTCTGGAAAACTGAAGAGAGACAGAGCCTGCAGTGAAACAAATGGATGCCTCAAAAGCTCCACAAATACAGGACTCAAAGTGTAACAGCAATTTTCCTCCTATTGTGCATTGTCTAAGAATTCCCTTCAAAGTGAAAATTTTATGGAAGATGAAAAGAGAAACATCAGAAGGCTTAAGTACAAATTTCCTGTCCTCTCTCTTACCTACACTTACTTATTTGTAGACTATGGCTAAAAAACAAGTGCTGTTGCAACCCATGAATATGTGCAAATCTCCAAGTCAAGACTATACTACAGTGGGCCAAGAACTCTGTCAAAAGCAATGAGAATAAGATTATCTGGGCTCAGAAAAAGCAGAACATCCTGGCTTTCTGGTTTACAACATTTTTTTCACATTTTGTTTAGCACAATTCTCACTACTATAAAGTTTGACTTTAGGAAGTCACTGCAAATCTTAAAAGTCTTAGACGTGGTTGTCCACAATGGTGGGTTGCTGAAAGTTTTTTCTGCCACCATTGTTCAAAGTATTTCTAAAATCGATAGTCATTTAAACACTTGGCGTTCAGACTTATAGTGGTAACACCAATACTGCACTTGCTCCCTATGCAGGGTATAGGTGTTCAGCACTAGGCCACTGAATCTGCCTAGGACCACCCTGCTGCAAAGGCTCTTATATTATTTAAGATGAAGAGAACAAGAAAATGTGAGTGACCAGAATAGACACCCATTTCATTTTTTGTTCTAAAAACCATACTGAGATTATAACACTGCTTCCCATTGTAAAAGCACTGTTATTTGAGATTGTTTTTGTTTCTTGTCTCTCTGTGGGTGAGCAAGAAAGCTAACATAATCTTGTTTATTTGTGGATTACAGTGAGTTTATCCTGATTTCATATACAGATGTTTTCTACAGCTTAACTTATATAGGCATCAGTCTGTGTGAGGAGAGTAGGAATGAAAGGAGGAGTCATCTCACTCTGCTCTTCCTCCCCTCTATCTCCTCTCCCCACACACACCTTTTCTTAGTCCTTTGTCATCAATGAATTTGGTGGGGGGGAGAAAGGGGGAGGAATCTAGATTGGGCACCATGTTTGGGAGTTGAACTGTGAAGGGTAAATCCTCACTGTCTTGATCTCAAACTAGGAGTATAAGTAGCATTTTATATTTTTATCTAACTTGGAAGAAAGGATTAAATCATTCCTCTGGCAATAACTTGAGATTTGTTTTTTAAATATCAAATATCAGTTTGAATCTCCAGGTTTAATGGGAATATGTCTGAAAGAAACCTTAAATTAGATTACATTATTTTTTTGATAATTCAAAAATTATTTTTCTGTCTGACACTGACCAATAAATAAAGAGTTAAATGTAACTTTGGAAGGTATTTTAGTCATAACAATAATCTCTTTATATATCAGTGGGTCAATAGTTCAGTAAAAGAAGGAACTATAACTTGAATAGACACTAATTAAAAGAATCAATTCTTATCCTACTACATATGTCCAGTCATATTAACACATTTCTAGATTTCTTACTCAGTGGACTAGTCAAGATTAAAGGATTTGCTAATATGGATGAACTGAGTATGCTTCCAAACTGACTGAGCAGATTTGTGAACAAATTAGTTCATTTAAAATTGACAGTGAAAGATTGATTTTGCACAGAATGAGTTACCTAAGGTATTCATCATTTCCTCTGCTTCTATGCACAAGACAGAGATCTGCTTCTTTTTCTTTCTGATTGTAATAGGACTGCTTACTGAGCACCTTTATTTTACAGCCATGATTGCAGCCTGTCATTCTTTTAATTTAGACATATTTTAGCCTCCACAGACCTTCAGAAATAACTTCCTTAAAAGCCTTAGTCTAATGACTCATTACATGAGTTGCTCAATTCAACCACAGTACTTTAAATTATAATGCAAGGGGAAAAATTGCTAATTACACAGAAAAAGATCCAATTACTCCTGAGACCATTTGATTCATTATTCAGATTGTTTTGGGGGGTGGGGGTGGGAGGGAGGGTGTCTCTAAACATGAGGTTATGTATCAATGTATTGTGAATGGCACTTAGATGTCAAATTTGACATCAGTTATCATCATTCAGCAGTATCCAACATCTCTCTATTTTCCCCTACCAAACAAAGTAGGGTTTCCAAGACTCTGATTCAAACATATGTGCCAATGCCCCATTCTTCGCTTTTTGCTATTAAATGACATTAGAAGAAAGCTATAACCAATCCCTTCCTAATGCTACTACATGGTAAGTCACTTTGGCATTGCCAGGGGAATATATGTGACCACATACACGAAAGGAAGTGACCCACAAGTCACAAAACTTCAGAGAGAAGAGTTTCTCCAGTGATTAAATGTGGTCCCTGCTTGATTCCCTGCCATACTTGAGCTAGAGAGCATCCAGATATTTTGCCTGGGACCTGTCTGTGCCCAGGTTCCTCCCATCATGTTTGCAGTTGGCTGGGAGCTGAAATCAATGGAAATGATGTACCTGTCATTGTTGGCCTCTCCTGAGCCAAAATTGCTAAGATTTGTGCTCAGACATAGCCATAAAACCCTTTGGACTCCTTCAAGACAAATCACATCCAATCTAAACTTGGCTTTCGTTCATGGGGCATACAGTACTCCCTGAACAGGACTAAAGTCTCCTCCAACCTGGCTCATATTTCAGGGTAGAGGGGAATCTGAAATCAGTTAACTACATTATGTTTCCAGTCTGACTATTCTAGTAACTAAATAATCAAAAATTTTCCATGTATGTGTGCTTTCAACTCAGTTTGCCCAGATGTGAAATGAGATCAAATTTTGGTTCAAAGAAGAAGGTTTTAATGTCATTGTCTGAGTTATGCCAAAATTAACAAGACAAATGAAGGTGATTGTAATGTAGAAAAGCTGATAAAATTCTACTGGCAGACTATTGTTTGCAGCTATACTGATGTGAAATTGAACTATTATAAGAACTCTCAGAGATAATAGTTCTTTCTCCAGACTGCTCAGTCATGGCTCCATTTTTCCAAAGGCTTTGCTAACTGATTCAGCACCCTGCAATTGTTCCCTGAAACTTGTGTTCTTCCATACCCATTACTCTTCTGCAGTACATCCAGTTTAGTCATCATTAAACCCATCTCATCTATGATGTGCGAGCCAACTATTCCTTTTTTTTTTTCTGCAGAGTGTCACTTTCTACTACACACTTTCATTTTATGCTTCACTGTAATCATTTCATTTTCTCTCTTCCCTTCATGCTTCTTACTTCCTACTTCATTTCCTTTCCTTCATCTAAATGCCTCAATATTATCTGCTATTTTGGATTGTACTGCAGCTCACCTTCATTTTCTTAAATTTTGTGGAATTTCTCCTGTCAGGGATGTTGCATTACTTAGGATGAATTATGCAAAAGCAATAAAAAGCAAAATGTGTAGACGGCACACGATTGTTATCTTGCTATTAAAGTGAAGCAGCAACAAAATTTGTAATGTATATGAACAACTTGTTCATATTTTTAATGTAGATTAAAAGAATCTTTGCACTTTTCAATACAGAATGAAGACACTCTCTCCACCTTCAGTGATTTGTCTTTCACAGTTCAATTCTGCCATTTCACAAGTTTGCTGGCTCTAGGGTTATGTGCCCTGGCAAACAGTTGTCTGTCACCTGTTAATGTATTTCCTCACTTATCTGATTGACAAAATCCCTGCCTTGGTCATTGATTTGTGCAGATACACATGAATGTCTGATGAATTCAATCAGAGACCTTCAACACTTTTAGCTAGTTTATTCTGTAGGGGTTTATTTTGAGAAGTAATCCATAGCTGTTGCCAAATATTTGTATGTGTCAGGATCAACAGTGAGAAAATAAATATCGCAATTAATTTGTACAGTTCTTACAGTGATGACCCTGCCACGATGCCCTCCTAGATCACATTGCCCAGATTCTATACGCCACCAGCCAAACCTGAGACAGATAGCAAGCAAGTGTGCCAGGAAGGTAGGCATTTTGTGGATGTAGCAGCACCAACAACAGCCTCCACAATCTGCACGAGTGTCCATGATTAGACCAATTTAAGCAGATAAGCCCATATACATACCCAACCCTGCAGGAATAGAAAAACAACATGGGTCTTATTAACCCAGGAGGTTTTATATTGCACCCGGATAGGGAGTAGGCAGTAGCATACTTCTGCGCCTCTGCCATGGAGGCAGTTTCCCCCTTGCCTTGCATGACAGACAGCTCAGACGGGTTGAGCAGAGCTCACATTCCTTAGGTTTCAGCTCTGAAATGAAGGTCAGTGCTGGAGAGCAGAGCCGCAGGCTGAGAAAGGACAAGAGAAAGGGGAGAATCCCCCAGCGAGCCCTCATGCCTCCCGTGCACTGTGCTTCTTTTTAAAATATGCCTACCTTCTATGCTAAGAAAGGAAGCCCAATAAATTAAGCTAACATTTCTGCATCTGCCTGAGACTGATTTTCTGTATTATCTTTCATTCAGATCATCTGTCTGAGAATACAACATGCCAATCTGAGGGACTAGCAACAGCTCAAACCAATTTATACACTAGTCGATGCCATCCCTAAAGTATTGCAGACATCAAATTCTCCCCCTTCAAACTCATTACGTTGCTCAGGAAGCCTCACATCATGCACAGCAATATAAGAGCCTGGTAACTTCTGCCAAAATAGCAATCCTCTTGGCACATCATTTACTTTGAATTATTCTGTCTAGGGAATGATTCATGGATTCCCTTAGGATCCTCAAAGCTCTTGTTTTCCTGGCTGAGCTCAGTCTGGCCCTGCTGTAGCCTGGGTCAGCTCTGCCTCTTGGTCATTAGCCCCAAACTGGGCAGCTTTCATCCAGCCATAGCCAAGTCATATGGTGATGAGCTTGAGCAATAGAACTATACTAGAAAAACAGCACTGTACACCAGCCAGGATTTGCCTGTCTGAAATTATTTTAATCAAAACTAAAACCCATGTAACTTCAAAGGAATTACCACTTTTCTGCCTTCCAGCCTGAATTATTTTCTTTTGTTCCTTTTTTCTCCAATCAGTATCATCAAGAGCTTCTTCTGCTCTCTTCACATCCTGCAGCTTTTATGTTAAAGAAACCTCCCAACTCAGTCAAAAAGATGAAACAGGACCTAACCTAAGCCCATGGATAACAGATTTGCTAAACCTGGAAGGACACAGAGTAAGGTGCTGGAGTAAAAACCAAGCCAGATTTTATGATCTGATCAAACAGGAAGAACAAAACCAGGAACATTAGCTTGTTTGTTTATCTTCTGTTTAGAGTGTTATTTATTTTTTATTCTCATGAAGTTGAAGGACTAATAGTGAGAATATTAACTAAAGCTAAACTTAGTGTGAGAGCAGCTGCTTTCCAAGCCTTCTCAGGCAGCAATGCCAACTCTTCACTGAGCAGCTCTGGGTTGCCACACTTCTCTGTTTTGGGCCTCTTTTCAGCAGCATGAGCCAGTTAGGAGGAACTGAAAGATGGCTTTGTGATTTACAGAAATAATCAGAAATAGCATGACCAAGGTTATCAAGCGTATTTTCTCCAGTAGCACAGGCAAGAATGAACTGCACTATAGAATGAACACAGTCGGAAGATAAAAGGAAGGATAGTTCCAAATTTCACCACTTTTGTCAGAACATCAGAATTTATTGAAAAATGCTCTCAGCCCTAAAGTGGGACTTTGTGATTAAGTATTATGGATTTCATACTACCTACAAAACAGTGATATCTTAAAGTTATGACCAGGGGATGGGATCTTCTCTAGAATAAAGGGAAGCAGTGAGTTTTGTTGTGAGAATGGTGAGTCAATGCCATGAGTCCAGAGAAAGGAACTTGTGCTTAGCAAGGACTAAGAAGCTGCTATTTTTGTATAGCTAGAAAATGAGTCTGGTTAGAAATACAGTCTCTTAAACTATCATTATTGGGCTTTCCATTTTCCACTAAAACAGTAATGGATTTTCAAAACACATAGATGTCCTTGATTAAGTTTAATTTATGTCTGGATAGGTACGAAGAGCTTGATTCAGAGATTGCATCTGAAAATGTATAGGAATGGCACTCAAATCTTCTGATTAAGCCAGCCCTTTTGAGGAAATCTCCTGCGCTATTCCAAGAAGAACATTTGCTAAAACCTCACTGGGAGGTAGAAGTCCCAGACTAGCAGAAGTTTGCTGTGCATACCAGACACTTAAAGTGTTTTCTCTAATAATAAATAGGCAAATATTTGAGTTGCTGCTACCTCCAAATACTTCTG